TTAAGAAATAAATAATAGGTCAGAACTCGATAAACTTATATTCTATTTTTTATTTCAGATGTCTCAAAATTATTCTTATCGAAAGGAAAGAACACTTCTTTTAAAATGCATATGCCGTGAATAATTAATAATCACATAAAAGAATAAACATTAACAATAGAATAAAATTAATCAAAATAGACATTTATCAGTCTTCTTATTTTGCATGTTTTGTTTTTTTCAATGTCAACACATGAAAAAAAAAACCCAGAATACTTTATTTTGAACATCAAATTTAAGATGTAAATTTCTTGTTTTTTTTTATTTTATTTAATAGCACATCTATTAATCTACTTAAATATTAGAATTATCAAGTTCAACACAACAACAACAATATATTATGATTTCTTCTAAAAAAACGTTTTCGAAATTATTTTTTCGAAATTATGGATATTATTTATTAATATTTGTGAAAGATAATCGATATTTTATCTAAATATATTCTGTAGAGAAATCGAATATTATCTTCTTTTGTTTCTTGTTATTTCATATGATCTTTATTTCAAATGAAATAAAAATATAGATTAAGATTTTTATCACTATGACAACTATGTGCAACAAATTTTTGAAATTAATAATTCAAATTTTAACATCATATTACTAAATTTAATATATAGATGTATTGGTTAATAATTCTAAACAAATCAATTGTTTAGTGAAGCACATTATTTTATTATATTATAAAGGACACTCGAAGAATTGTTGGTGTGTACTTGATAACTGTCAAAAGACAAATAACTAGGAGTTTGATCCGCCATCTGCTATTGTAATACTTTGTTTTTAATTAAAAATTGTTTGACATAGACTAATTAATGTTGCTATTTGTATTATTTGATCCTGAAGGAAATCATTACAAATTATGAACGACTAAAACTTAAAAATAATACCTCGTAAAATGCGTTTTCTATTATCAAAGTTTGTTTTTAGCCTCAATCTAAAACTTAAACTAATCTTGTCTAATTCTGCATATGTTAGAAACGTTTATTAATTATTTTCATTTAAAATAAATAAAAAACTCGGAATTGTTTATCCAATTTAAATTCATTTTGAATACAATTAATGAGTTTTTTAATAACTAATTCAACCTGTACATAAGTATATCATTAGACAAGATTATCGTATTTATAGTTTCGGATATAATTACCTATGTCATACGTTTTTTCTCACTATCGACAGTAGGTTATCGGTTGGAGAACAACTATTTGTATATCGCGATAGAATGAATGGTATTTAGAAGATACCTGACTGTTTAAATGTTAAACTACCATCAATATACTAGCGAATACTACACATTATACCGAAGGACTTACCTACGAGGGTTTTACTCGGTTTGAATTATATGAATAGTAAGAAATATGCTTGTTGAGTGAAAATGTGTACTGTAAAAAACTTTGCCATTATCGGACGAACTTGATAATAGTTTATCGGTTTACCTCTTTTTTTTTTACTCTTATCATTGAAATAGACTTGTGACCTTCTCGTTAACTTATGTTATTAAACGAAATAAACTATTTCATTTTCATCAAATCTTTGCATTTTTGTTCTGTACATTTTTCATATAGTCAATACTATAATCATAACTTTTGAAACGATATATTTTTTCTGACAAAACAAAATACATACATATGTTTATATAACGAAATAAAAGTTAAAAAAAACCAACAAGTTTAATGTAGACTTTTAAGGCAAAAAAAAATAATACTGTTTCGTGAGTTTTCTTATTAAATTCAAAATACAAATCACCGTATTTGACCATAATTCCATATTCATATAGATACTTTTTTTTTTCTACTAATCTAACCCATTGAAAATGATGTTAATATTGTATAAACAAGATTTCCAAATGGTTGTCTTTCAATTAATCGTTCATCAATATCAGCTCCATAGTTTTGCTGTTGTAAAATTTGTCCAATAGTTAACATAAATAATTTTTGTGCTTCAATTTCTCCATAACGATAAATTAAATACGACCATAATATTTGAGTATATTGTTCTTGTGAATGAACTATTTGTAAGATTGTTTCTAATGGTGGTTGATAAGAGCTTACAGCTGGTAAATAATTGGTAACTAAACATGGTGAAAGAAATAAAATAATTTGCATAATTTTACTTATAATTGGATCAGAACCAATATAATTATTTAATTTATGTACTAAATATTGTCCACGTACTAATAAATCTTGTCCATAAACATATAAATAAACATTATAACAAGCTTTAGTTTCATCAAAATGTATTAAATTTCCACTGATATTCATTAAATCCATTGATGAAAATAAAAATAAATAATGTAAATTTGTACGTATTAACCATTGACGATCGTTATTATTTATTACAACTGAAAATTCTGATATAGTTGCATGAAAAAATGCAGTTAACGATACTAAACGTGTATTTAATACATTTATAAATGAATGTTCTTTTAAACGACATTTAATTGGTAGAGTATTTAAATATTCTTCACGTTCTTCTTCAGCACGTAATATAGGATATAGACAAAAATGTTCATATGCACTACGAATATTTGTTAATTGTATCCAATCATTTGATGATAATATTGATGTTAATGATTTATTATTTAAAAAATCTTTTTCATTTATATCATAAG